TCTATTTTCTGTAGGAGTACACGTGGTGTTGTCATCATTTGGGACGAGAGATCTACGAGCATGGAAGAAACTCGAGGGAGAATTTACTATTTCAATTAGAGTTAAGCACAGGGAGGGATATGTCTGGTGGTTTATCGGGATTTATGGCCCTAAAAAGCCTAGGATTAGGGTCTCAATTGTGGGAATAATTATTAGGGCTATATAGGGTGTGTGGTTATAGATGGTGTATAGGGGAGATTTTAAGGTTATAAGGTCTCCAAAGGAGAGGATGAATGGGGGAGAACAACAAAAAGTGTTGAAAGATTTTGATTCTTTTAATAGGGAAACCGAGTTTAAGGATGCTACTTCATGCTCTAGCTTTCCATTTCAGGAAAGGACGATGTACTATGATACTTTCTGTTTTGTCGAGCCTTGATTTAGTCTCTGGTTTGACGGTTGTATGTGCAAAAAATCTGGTACACTCTGTTTTGTTTCCTATCCTAGTCTTTTGCAACACTTCAGTATACTTCTTTTATTTGGTCCCCCCTGGGCAAATGGAGTGTTTACATGGTCTAATGGTAGAACAGTCATGGTGTGTAAACAACCAATCCATATCTTACAATCAAGAGCAAACTGTCTAGTAAAGCCTGAATTCTACTACCATATTAGTACAGAACCTATAATAAAAGGGGGCTGCGAGCACCCCCCTTTTTTCTCCCTCCCCCCCAATTCATTTCTCATAATAGCACCCCCACCAGCAACGCCAGGATTACTCTTGGCAACACAACCATTTACTAACTACTAGAATACCCAACTTCTGAATCCTAGAATCTAGAGGAAGAGCATCCAGCAAAGTTTTCCAACCAATCAACATAGCACTAGGGCTGTGTTCAATCCCCAAATGGCAACAACAACCTCATTCCTTACCCCTTGCTTTCTAATCACTTGCCAAGCTGATTTAACGGAAATAACCCCAGCATTAGTCTGTCGCCACACTAGTTTATCAGATATACCAGACAAAGAAATATCAGAATTCAAAATTTCTCCTCTAAGCTGTTTCGGCAAAAATTCCTTCACCTCACCCAAACACCACTGAGAGTCCAGACACTTCAGAAATCTTAGGAAAAAAATGAGGAGATCCCTCAATTCTTTTCAACAAAGGCACATCATTCAACCAACAATCACACCAGAAATCTACAAAACCTCCATTCCCAATAATGACTTTTGATTGAAGCATAACTCTTTCAATAAAAAGGCCTTAAAGATATATAACACTTTGCACGCCCCTTACCTATGCTTCTCAAAATATGCCTCCCTTTTCAGAATTTTGTAGAAAAGATTTTAGCCCACAAAGTAGAACCCTCCATGATATTCCAGACTGGTTTAGGGTTTAGGGTTTAAAGTTTTAGGGTTTAGGGTTTAGGGTTTAGGGTTTAGGGGTTTAGGGGTTTAGGGTTTAGGGTTTAGGGTTTAGGGTTTAGGGTTTAGGGTTTAGTTCTCTGACTTCAGACCCATTAGCTTATGCAACTTCCTCTACAAAATCTTCACTAAACTTCTCACTGAAAGACTTTCTTCTGTGCTTCCTTCCCTTATCTCTGAGGAGCAACATGGCTTTGTACAAGGAAGAGGGATTGGGGATTGTGTTGCACTGGGACAATTACTGGTAGGTGAGTTGGACAGAAAAGTTGACGGGGGTAATCTGATTATGAAATTAGACATGATGAAAGCCTATGATAGGCTTGAATGGGACTTCATATTTCACGTTTTGAAGAACTTTGGTTTCTCCACCATGTTTATTCAAATTATCCATAACTGCTTGAAAACACAGCATTTTACCATCTGTTTAAATGGACAAAGGTATGGTTACTTCTCTAACTCAAGAGGTCTTAGACAAGGAGACCCCCTTTCACCTTCTTTATTCATTCTGGCTCAAGAGGTCCTTAGCAAAGGGTTAAGGTGGTTATACTAGCACAAGTTGGTTTCCCATTATCAAGGGGAACCATTTGCTGAGAGCCTGCAACAAAAGTGCAGGCAGGAGCTTCCAATTTTTAAAACCATGGTTTGCTTTTGTTGTTACCAACTCAAAGATCTTGGTTGGGAATGGCCAAGATACTGACTTCTGGTGTGATTCATGGATGGAGAGTGGTCCCTTGCTGCATAGAATTCATGGCTTGCCTTCTTCCTATCCAATGTTGAATGAAGTTTGGCATGATGGTGGCTGGCATTTTGACAGGACTGAAGAGTGGTTGAATCCTCAATTGCTGATAGAGATTAGGAACTCTGGTGTCCTGTTGACAGAGAAAGCTGATAAAAGAATATGGGAACACACCAACTCTAGGAACTTTACTACCAAATCAGCATGTAACCAAATTAGAAGGACCAGAGATTTTAATGCTACTGCTCACAGGATTTGGAATCAAGACGTGTCTCCTAGTGCCCAGCTTTGCACCTGGAAAATTTTTAATAAAGCCTTGACATCTGAGGAGAGAATAAGAAGCATTGGGGTGTCTTTATCTAGCATATGTTGTCTGTGTGAAAAGGATGAGGAAACTGATAAACACATTTTTGTCACCTGCCCCTTTGCACATGTTGTCTGGAGGAAATTTGCTGCTGTCATGGGTTTTGAGCTAATCACTGGGGAATATCCTATTTGCAGATTCTTGAGACTCTGTAGATGTTTCAAAAATTCCTCTGTTAGTCATACTCTTGTCAGGTGAGTCTCCATGCTCATCTACTGGGCACTATGGAAAGAAAGATGCAGGAGGAAATTTAACGGGTTAAGAATTAACAGTCATGCTGTCTTCATACAGGTGGTTCATGCAATGAAATGGCAAATTCTCAAAATCAAACCTCATCATGAGGAAGACAGATTTGGGAAAACCATGCTTATGGACCTCAGGATTCATCCTCCTGTCTCTATCACTACCAAGGTGACATGGGTTAAATGGGACCCACCAAAGGATTCTATGATGAAATTAAATGTTGATGGGGCCTCCAAGGGTAATGGATTGTCTGGTGGAGGGATGGTTCTGCGGAATTCCAAGGGACAGATTGTCTTGGCTGCTGCTGCACCTTATGGGACTGGTTCTAACATGAGAGCTGAATGCTTAGCAATGCTGGATGGGCTAAAAATGGTAATGCAGTATGGCCTGCAGAATTATCACTTTGCTATTGAGACTGACTCACAAGTGTTGGTCAACATGATCATGGGTCTTGCTTCTATTCCATGGAGGTTGTCAGGTTTTATGGAACAAATCTCTGCACTGCTTGGGAAGCTAAATTTTCAAATTAAACATGTATACAGAGAGGCAAATATAATGGCAGATTTTTTGGCCAACCATGCGGTTATGACTGGAGGCTTTTTTGATTTTTCTACCAACAAGGTGCTACCCCCTACTGGAAGTTTCATTCTCAAACAGGATAAATGCATGGTCCCCAGTGCAAGACTGAAGAAGGTTGCTATTGGTGGGCTTAAACAGGGGATTGGTTAAGCTGGACTGCTCTGCTTAGGGTTTAGGGTTTAGGATTTAGGGTTTAGGGTTTAGGGTTTAGGGTTTAGGGTTTGGGGTTTAGGGTTTAGGGTTTAGGGTTTAGGGTTTAGGGTTTAGAGGGGGCAGTCATTTGTTTTGTAGTGAGAGATGCTCTTCCTTCTCTCTTGATTATTCCTTTGATTCTTTGTTTTTTCTGGCCTAATTATCCACCATTAATGGATCCTGATCAAGTTCCCAACCACATTCCACCGAAACCACCTGACAGTTCTCAGATTTTCACTTCAACCCCCCCCAATTTTGGTTTTTTCTTCTAACCTAGCAACATCGGTCCCCACTAAGGAACCCGATGAAAAAGGGGCGAAAANAGACAGTTCTCAGATTTTCACTTCAACCCCCCCAATTTTGGTTTTTCCTTCTAACCTAGCAACATCGGTCCCCACTAAGGAACCCGATGAAAAAGGGGCGAAAACCCCTGCTGCTCCTCACAATATCGTCCATTCTCCTGGTATGCCCTCTGAGACCTCTGGTCTCCCTCTTAACCCAAATATTTCAAAAATCTTTGCTTCGCTGTTTAAGAAACCCCCGATTTCCTCGATTCCAACGGCCTCGTCTCTTCCCATGAGCTCTTCACCTCCTTCGACTGTCCCTATTTCCTCCACCCCTTCGGACCCAGTCATATCGCCCGAGAACTTAACCCCACNACGGCCTCGTCTCTTCCCATGAGCTCTTCACCTCCTTCGACTGTTCTTGTTTCCTCCACCCCTTCGGACCCAGTCATATCGCCCGAGAACTTAACCCCACCACTTCTTTCAGTCGCTCATGTCAGGCCGGCAAAACGCGTAGTGTTCAACAATGGAGAACCAGGAATCTATTGGTCCTCCGAAGAAACTCATGAGCTCTCAAAGAGGTTCCACCAGACTCTTATAGGTAAATNTAGTGTTCAACAATGGAGAACCAGGAATCTATTGGTCCTCCGAAGAAACTCATGACCTCTCAAAGAGGTTCCACCAGACTCTTATAGGTAAATGTGCATATGGAAAACCATTTATCGGCGTTATTAGGGAATTCATTACAACGAGATGGCTCCCAAAAGGAAACTTCACAGGCGGCATTTTGGACCCGAGACACATTCTGATCAGGTTTGAGCTTTATGACGACTATGTTAAAACATGGCTCAAGGATGCTACATATATTGAGGGTTATTTATTCAGATTTTTCAAGTGGTTCCCGGAGTTCTTATCGGGTATTGAACCTCCGATTGTCCCAATTTGGATCTCTCTTCCAGGATTGCCAATTCATCTTTTTGACTGCAATAGTCTGAGAGATATCCTTAGCCCAATTGGTCGAATTCTTGTGATTGACAACCCAACCTTACAATTGTCGAGGCCCGGGGTGGCTAGAGTCTGTGTTGAAGTAAACTTATTGGCTGATAATCCACATAGATTCTGGTTAGATTTTGGAGGCTCTAGTGGACGGTGACAGATGATAGTCTATGAAAAAAGGGTAAAATATTGTAGTATTTGTTTAAAGCAAGGTCATGGTGATAATGAATGTAGGAAATCTAAATCTGAGAAGGAAGCTAATGAGGTAGTTAATGTAGCTGGAGGTGCTAAAGAAAGCAAACAGTCTACTGTTCCAGAATTAAAAGAATGGGGGGGTAACAGAAAAGGAAAAGAGTGGCAGACTGTGAAAGGCAAAGGGAAGGCGAAGAATAAAGAGAAGCAAAATATGGAGGGGCATAAAACCAACAAAGGTGATGGCAACCTATTTAACACGCTTCGTGGGGAACATTCTGGTAAAGGTGTTTTGGGTGTGAAAAAGAATTGTAATATGCAACAACAAGAAGAGGTTATTGTTATAGAGGAGACTTTGAACGTACAAAAGGAAGGAGGTGAGACGACCATAGGGGAAGTTGAACAAGGGGTGACCAATGAGGAATCACCAAATGTCTTAAGAAAAGGAGAGGCAGCCAATGAAGTTAGGGATTCTACTTTCCCAGACAATTTTGTGAACCAGGAACTGAACCAGGGGGAAAATCTTGAAGGGACAGCCTTGAGCTTGGAGGAGGAGGTCAATATTAACACTCAGGAACCTGATGGCAGGGACCAGGATAGCTCAGAAAACAAAGAATTGTTCTGTGCTTTAAATAAAAAATGTTCCTCCATGGGGGACTCCTTTTTAGTGGACCATAACTACTCACCCGTATGGGGGGTAATGACTGTTGTTGATGAGGGTAGGGGATTAATTCAAAGAACTGAACCCCCTGACAAAGGTTACTGGTCGGATAAGGGAAGCTCTTTGAGTGTAAACAATGCACAACATACTTTGGGGGAGGATGATGATGATTCTGTTGAGCCAGATGTGAACTCCCTTGAAGTTTACTCTCAGGAGGTGGAAAATGAAAACAACATGGGGGCGATGAATCTTTCTTCTTCTCAATGATCAATTGCCTAAATTGGAATATGAGGGGTGCTGGTAAGGCAGCTCAAAGGAGGAGGATCAAAAAACTTATCAGAATTCATGATGTTTGTATGGTGTCAATCCAAGAACCTAAAATAGAGGCAAATAAATTACAGAATTTTGCCCACTTCCTGGGTTTCTCCCATTACGTTTTCAACCCAATAGCTGAAAGGAAAATGTGGCTGTTGTGGGATGATAGAGTAACGGTGCAAATTATGGCTCAACATGAGCAAGCTCTAACAGTTAGTGTGTCCTATTTGGGTTCTGATGCGGTTTTGCTTACGGTTATTTATGCTTGCTGTGACTATGTTTTGAGAAGACCACTGTGGCAACATTTACTCTCTTTGTCATGTATTGGAAACTCTGCGTGGATGGTGGGAGGAGATTTTAATGCTATAACTACTTCCTCAGAAAGACTAGGTGGTGCATTTCCATCTATTGTTTCTATGGAGGAATTTGGGGACTTTATCCATGCTGCGGGTCTGCAGGATGTAGGTTTCTTTGGCAGCCAGTTTACATGGTGTAATAATCATCATGGTCAGGCAAGAATGTGGCAGAGAATTGATAGGCTTATCTTTAATCCTTCTTGGAGTCTGAGATTTGGCCACACTGAAGTGCTGCATCTGGGGAGGGGGGGCTCTGACCATTGTCCTATCCTTCTCAAAATCCAAGACCCTGTGAAACCAAAAATTTCTTACTTTAAATTCCAAGATATGTGGGTCGAAGACCAAAGTTTCCTGCCTTTGATAGCAGCTAACTGTGGAGGATATTACACTGACAATCCGATTGAAAACTTGTTCTTAAAGCTGAAATATTTGAAATTCCACATAAAAAAGTGGAATAAAGACGTTTTTGGAAATATCTTTGAAAGAATCAAACGAAAGGAAGAGGTTCTAAGGCAGGCTGAGGTTCTTTTGGAACAGGAAAATTCTGATGATAATGTGCATGCCTGCGACTGTGCTCACAAAGATCTGGACGAAGAGTTGAGATTAGAAGAAATTTACTGGAAGCGAAAAGCAAATGCCAAATGGGCGTTAGAAGGAGTAAAAAACACTCATTTTTACCACATACTGGCAAAAGGCAAAGCAACAAGGAACAGGATTACCAAAATTCAGAATGAAGCAGGAGTATGGGTTAAGTCTGATGAGGAGATTGGCGGGATTGCTATTGATTTTTATGCCAACCTGTATAAATCAGAGCAACATGAGCTAGAGGACAATTTTTTTTCTGTTATTCCTCCTTTGGTAACCAATGAGATGAATGGCCAGCTGGTAAGGGAGGCCACTATGGAGGAGCTCAAATCTGTTATTTTCTCAATGTCTGCTCAAAGTGCTCCTGGGGTGGATGGTCTTTCAGGCAGATTTTTCCATGTGACCTGGGACATTATTAAGGATGACTTGATGAAAGCAGTGAATTTTTTCTTAAAAGGAGGTAAAATGCCTAGGTCTGTGAACTCCTTTCTCTTGATTCTTATTCCAAAGAAGGTAAATCCTGCCTCTTTCTCTGACTTTAGACCAATAAGTTTGTGCACCTTTCTCTATAAAATCTTTACAAAGCTCCTGACTGGTAGGCTGGGTCCTCTGTTGCCGACTATTGTATCCAGTGAACAACATGGTTTTGTGGAAGGAAGATCTGTTGGGGACTATGTTTCTTTAGCTCAATTACTTGTCGCTGATCTTGATAGAAAGGTTGAGGCTGGGAACATGATCCTCAAACTTGATATGATGAAAGCTTACGACAGATTGGAGTGGAATTTCTTATTTAAAGTCCTGTCTTCTTTTGGCTTCTCTGAGTTGTTTGTGAACATTATCTCCAATTGTCTGGAATCTCAGTTTGCATCTGTTTGTGTGAATGGGCAGAGAGTGGGATACTTTCCTACTTCAAGAGGCCTGAGGCAGGGAGACCCAATTTCACCTTGCCTTTTTATTCTGGCAGAAGAGGTCCTTAGTAGAGGACTAAAAAAGTTGTATTTAAATGGATCAGTACGCAGTTATCACTTGGGAAGGGGATCTATTCTGGTCAGCCACCTACTTTTTGCTGATGATACATTGGTTTTCCTGAGAGGTTTCAAAAACTCTTTACGTAATTTACAAAGTTTTTTGAAGTCCTATGAATTATACTCTGGGCAAAGAGTGAACACCCAAAAGAGCTCTATGTTTTGCTCAAAGCAAATTTCGGAAGGTAGAAAACTGGCTTTATCCTCTTTGGTTGGGATTCCAATTAAAGCCTGCCCCTTTACTTATCTTGGATGCCCCATAATAAAGGGGAGATCCAGGATTAGGTACTTCGAGGAGATCATTGTGAAATTTAGAAGCAGACTGGATGGTTGGTACTCCAGAGTACTGTCTAATATGGGTAGGGTCTTAATGGTCCAATACATTCTGAGCTCCTTGCCTACTCATATCCTTGCTTGCCAGAACCTTCCAAAAGCTGTCCTTCACAAGTTGAATACTATTATGGCTAGTTTCATATGGTCAAATAAGGAAGATGTTAAAAAGCGGCATTGGGTCTCATGGGACACTATTACCCTGCCAAAAATGGAAGGGGGCTTGGGGCTGAGGAAGTTTGAGGATTTGTAGAGAGTGTTTAGAATGAAACAAGTATGGAACCTGTTGCAGGGATCCTCTTTATGGGCTGAAGTCTTCTCCAAAAAATTCTTGAAAGGTAAGCATGTGCTTCGATGTATAGGGAAAAGTCATTTTAAATGCCTTGAGGTTTTACGACCTTTTTTTGACAAAGTGGTGATGCAATCTAGAGCTACGGTTAGCAATGGTGACCAGACTGATTTCTGGTGCGACGTCTGGTTGGGTGATAGACCTTTGCTAAAAAGAGTGGATTCCCTCCCCCAGGTTTTCCCAAAAATTGGGGACCTTGTTGTAAATTCCAATTGGTATCTGGAACAAGTCGAACATTTGCTAAGTGATGAGTTGAAAGTGGAAATCTTAAATTCCGGCACTGTCCTCTCTGATAATGCTGATAAATTGGTTTGGCAAAGCTCTATGTCTGGGAAATTCACGATTAAATCTGCTTGGCAGACGATTAGAAGGCGAGGGGAAATTAACAATGTGGCAATGTCCATTTGGAAGCTGAATACTGCTCCCAGTGCACAATTGGTGGGCTGGAAATTGTTGAAACATGCCCTTCCGTTAGACTCTAGAATCAAGCTATGCGGGGTAACTTTGGTCAGTCGGTGTTCCTTGTGTGGTATGAATGAGGAGTTTGCTGAACATATTTTTGTGAGCTGCCCCTATGTGAAATCCATTTGGGAAAGGTTTGCTGCTATAGCTGGTTTCAAGCTTCTTGTGAATGAACTGCCTTTAATGAGATTTATGAGACTTTGTAATATCTTCAAAAAGAACTCCCTTGGGTGTGATTTGATGAGAAGCTTAGCACTTCTAATCTACTGGCAAATTTGGAAAGAGAGATGCAATAGAAGGGCAGGTGAAGGGATGGTGAATTCTTACTCAATTTTTCTAAAAATTTGTAGCCTCTTGAGATCGTATGCTAGGAGCATTAAGCCCAAGGTGGGAGATGGAATGAACGAAAGAGACTTTATCCAGTCATTGGGTGTTGTGAGATATTATACTGTGAAACTTAAAACTTCTTGGGTGAGCTGGCAACACCCAGTTAATGGGACTTTGAAATTAAATGTTGACGGTGCTGCGAAAGGAAACCCAGGGATGGCTGGTGGAGGTATGGTTCTTAGAAATGACAGGGGTGATGTGGTTCTTGCTGCTACCTTCTTCTATGGAGTCTACTCTAATACAACAACTGAGTTTCGTGCGATGTTAGATGGGTTGTCTATGATATTGAGATACGACTTGTCTTCGAATATGATCTGGATTGAATCCGACTCATTGGTGGTAATCAATACCATCAAAGGAGATACGGAATGCGGTTGGCACTATTGGGGCACTTTGGAGCATATAAAGAAAATTCTTAATGGGCTACAATTCCACTTGACACATGTTTTTAGAGAAGCGAACTCTGTGGCTGACTCACTGGCCAACAAGGCTGTCCAAGATGGCTTTTCCTCTGATTTTTCTGATTCCCGCTACCTGCTGCTGTAAGGATGAATGTTGGGCAAGACCAGCGAGGCTTACCTTTTCTTCGAACCAAATCAGTGCTGATTTTTGATGATTGTGGTTAACTTGGGGGTACCTTTACCTCTTAGCTTGAGNTTTGGTTGGGATTCCAATTAAAGCCTGCCCCTTTACTTATCTTGGATGCCCCATAATAAAGGGGAGATCCAGGATTAGGTACTTCGAGGAGATCATTGTGAAATTTAGAAGCAGACTGGATGGTTGGTACTCCAGAGTACTGTCTAATATGGGTAGGGTCTTAATGGTCCAATACATTCTGAGCTCCTTGCCTACTCATATCCTTGCTTGCCAGAACCTTCCAAAAGCTGTCCTTCACAAGTTGAATACTATTATGGCTAGTTTCATATGGTCAAATAAGGAAGATGTTAAAAAGCGGCATTGGGTCTCATGGGACACTATTACCCTGCCAAAAATGGAAGGGGGCTTGGGGCTGAGGAAGTTTGAGGATTTGTAGAGAGTGTTTAGAATGAAACAAGTATGGAACCTGTTGCAGGGATCCTCTTTATGGGCTGAAGTCTTCTCCAAAAAATTCTTGAAAGGTAAGCATGTGCTTCGATGTATAGGGAAAAGTCATTTTAAATGCCTTGAGGTTTTACGACCTTTTTTTGACAAAGTGGTGATGCAATCTAGAGCTACGGTTAGCAATGGTGACCAGACTGATTTCTGGTGCGACGTCTGGTTGGGTGATAGACCTTTGCTAAAAAGAGTGGATTCCCTCCCCCAGGTTTTCCCAAAAATTGGGGACCTTGTTGTAAATTCCAATTGGTATCTGGAACAAGTCGAACATTTGCTAAGTGATGAGTTGAAAGTGGAAATCTTAAATTTCGGCACTGTCTTCTCTGATAATGCTGATAAATTGGTTTGGCAAAGCTCTATGTC